CAAAAATCACGGTTTTAGTAACGCAGTAACGCAGCGTTCCTACGGGAAAGTAACGGTAATCTAATTACCGTTTTTGCAATAGTAATCCCTTACTTTACTCGTTACTTGAAAAAAGTAATCAGATTACAGTAACGCGTTACTGCCCATCTCTGCTGTGGATTAGTGATGGGATTTACGGCTCTTTCGGCTCCAAACCGGCTCTTCAGGTTGTTTTGTTGTTTTAATTAATTTATTATTAACAATAATATAAAATTATGCACAAAAGTAATTACTAATGTAAAAAAGTGGCTTTATTTATATATGTTTATATATAAATAAATACGGTGGCCCCTAGAGACAAAACACGTACAAACTCCAAAGCTTTCACACTCCTGTATCGTCTGCCAGATGGTAGGAGTGTGAACAGTGTGTGCTGTGGGTGGGTGCTGTCCTTAATGATATAGTTTGCCCTGAGTGTTGTAAATGTCCTGTAGTGGTACTCCACAGATGAGTTGTGCCATTTTGATGACACGTTGGAGAGCCTTCCTGTCCTGAGTTCCCGTAGCACACTGTGATGGAGTTTGTCAGGATACTCTCCACTGTGCATCTGTAAAAGTTGCTGAGAAGTTTGGAGGTTAATCCAAATTTTCTCAGCTTCCCTAGGAAGAAGAGTCGTTGTTGAGACTTCTTGATGATCTGCCGTGTGTTATGGGTCCAGGTGAGATCCTCACTGATGTGGGTGCCAAGGAATATGAATGTCTTCACCGTCTCCACCTGAGTCCTGTTGATGCATAGTGGGGCGTGCTGCTCTCTCCTCATTCTTGGGTCAATAACCATCTCCTTAGTCTTCTCAGCATTTAAGGAGAGATTATTTTCCAGGCACCAGCTGAGCCACTTCTTCCCTGTAGGCAGTCTCCTCTCCAGCAGTAATCAGCCTGACGATGGTTGTGTCATTTAATGATGGAGGTGTTGCTTTGGGAGGGGACACAGTCATAGGTGAACAGGTGTACAGGAGTGGACTGAGCACACAGCCTTGGGGAGTCGCTGTGCTCACTATCTTTGTACCTCATGTCCCGGTACCAACTCTGACTGCCTGGAGTCTGCCTGTGAGGAAGCCCAGGACCCAGAGACAGAGGGGGGTGTCAGTCCAAGAGTAGAGAGCTTTTTCACGGTGGGATGATGGTGTTGAATGCTGAGCTGTAGTCTATAAACAGCATTCAAACATACATGTCCTTGTTTCCGAGGTGTGAGAGGGCTGTGTGGATAGCTGCATTAACGGCGTCCTCGGGAGAGCGATTCCTCCGATATGCAAATTGCAGAGGGTCTAATCTGTCCGGGATGGCTTCTTTGATATGGGACATGACAATCCTCTCAGAACACTTCATTACAATTTGAAGTGAGTGCAATGGGGCGAAAGTCATTCAAACAGGTTATTTACGTGGGGAGGGGCACTATGATGGTGGTCTCGAAGCATGTGGGCACAGCTGACTGGGTGAGGGACAAATTGAAAATGTCTATGAAGAGCAAACACTCAAAGCATGGCCTGGGATGTTGTCAGGGGAAATCAGTGATGTGTTGGAGGCCCTGCCACATTCGTCGGGATTCGAGTTGTTGTAGTATCCCTCCAGGTTCAGTCTGTATGTGGGTCATATCTGGCCTTTTTGTAGCGCTCTGTGCCACCAGAGGCAAACGCAGTGGAGTGTGCATGTAGCATGGAACGTACCTCACAGTTCAACCATGGTGTCTGATTTGGATATGTTTTGTAGCGCTTGGTGGGGACAATATTGTCAATGCATGTGGTGAGGTAGCTGGTGACCACTGGTGCATATTCCTTTAAATCCACAGAGCAGTCCTCTCTCATGGCAGCAGTCTTAAACACGTCGCAGTTTGTAGCACCAAAGCAGTTCTGAAGCACCGAATCAGTCTTTTCGCTCCAAGCTTTAGTAATTTTACTTACTTGGGGGGCTCGTTTGAGGAGCTGCCTGTTTGCCAGATAGAGGAACACAGAAATGTGGTCGGACTGTCCAAAATGCGGGCGAGGCACTGCCTTGTATGCACCTCTTACATTGCTGTAGACCTGGTCTATGTTGTTGTTATTCCTTGTCGGAAAGCTCAAGTATTGATGGAACTTTGGGACCACAGTCCTGAGGGTGCAGTGATTAAAATCCCCGGCAGCAACAAACGCAGCAACTGGGTGAGCAGTCTCGTGTTTGCTGATGATGTCATGCAGTAGTCCTAGCGCTGTGGTCCAGTGTTGTTGATGTAAATGCATACACCGCCGCCTTTGTTTGTACCCGAGGCAGATGTGACGTACGGGACAAATCACGTTCCTTTTCACCTCAATATGGATGTATTGTAATTGGTCCAGCCCAGAGTCGATCATGACCACTCAATCCACCACCTTTCATTGTTTATAACGTTAGAAACAAACAAACAAACAACATCAGCCTACCTGGCAAATGCCCGGTATGCCCGATGGCCAGTCCAGCTGTGCAAAGTATCCACAACTTTTGGACAGTAGTGCATACAGTTGGGTCAATGGTATGTTTTTCATAGTTCTGTCTGTGCGGACCACAATGGTGAATTTGAAATCACACTGTCAAGACGGGACAGAAGTGCACACTTTTAGACTCAAAGGGCTCAACAGAAGTTCTGTAACTGTTTATGAGTTACATTATATACAGTCACCCATTATCACAAGCTCAAACGTAACTGGACAAACTAGTACAATTTTAAATGTAAGGAAAGGTTTTTGTAGTCTAGTCTAGAAAAATATCCCATTTCTTTGCCTTAAGAAAGTCTTTGGTTCGGTTTCCATTTTGCTTTGGGTCGCTATCCATGTAAAGCTCTGTCAGTTTTGTAGCATTTGACTGAAGCAGAGGACATAGTTTTGTGTGTTTCATAATACATCCTGATACTTCTATCACACAATCAATAAGCACTACTGACTTCATCCCACTGTCAACCATACATACCTATGCCATTACACTGCCTCCATCATATTTGATACATGTGGTGTCCAATCAAGAGTTGCTTCTCTCCTCCTCCGTGTCTCTTTTCCCAGCTTAATCTGTCCAAACATTCTTTACCAGAACTGTTTACATGCTTCCTGGTAGTCGGATCTGGGATTCTCCTTCTAGAAAATAAACAGTAATTTCTCTTGATTGCAGATTTTGGTGACGATAAACATACCTCCTTTTACTTTACTAAGTACATCCACTTCTGTGGTCTTCTGGACCTGTTGGCAGCGAGTTCCTTTTTTAACAATGAGTTTGGCATTCTTGCAGTGTTTTTCTCTCTAACTGAGAAGCTCGAAAACAAAATAGATCTCATGGTGGTCTCCTTCATTTGGACTGAAATCTCTTTGGATCTCATATTGTCAGTCAACTGTCCAATTTGGTTTAGAGCCTCTAACGATGGAGAACCGTGCATAAAAATAGCTGTAATTCCTAAACAGTTAATGCTATTTTATTTAGAAAAGAGAAAAAAGTGGAAAGTACTCTGACAGTCAATAATATTAAGATGTTTGTCTTCAATTCAACATTTGTTTAATGGAAAGTATACAAAATACCAGACAAAGCTGTATATACATACTCAGATGATACCAACAAAACACCTGCATTTTGAAATTTCTGTGTACTCTTTATCAGTATAGAATATTTGAACACAGTCATTCCACTGACAGCATAGTAAGAACCGTCCGAGGTCTGACGGGCTGCTCAGTCATCCTTTCATTCCATAGCAGTCGAGTCCAGTTCATTGAGAAACCTCTGACATTTAGCCACGAGGACCTTAATCGCCTCTGTGACTAAGACGTCTGGAGGCAGGATCCCGGTGGATTCCACTGTAACTGTAAAAGAAAAAACATCCATGGGCTAAAATAGTGTAAAGACAGTGATGCACGTATTCAAAGTCTGTGCAAGTGTAGAAATTAGTGCTGTCAGCGTTAATCTTGTTAAAATGACGTTTACGCCATAACCGCATTAACGTGGCAAATCTCTGTTAGCAAGTTAGCGCGGATCACCGGCGCTAACGTGTTAACGAGCTAACCGTGCTAACGCTTTAATGCCGTGCAGCCCCACGGGGTCCTGAGTTATCGCATTCAAAAGATTTTCAGAAAACTCGACCTCTGACCCCTGGCTTTAAGTTTGAGGTCACTGAACTTGTCTGAGGGTTTTAGTAGATGCATCTATGGTATCAATTTCACAACTCTAGGTTAGTAATGCAATCACAAACTTAAGTGTCCACGTCGCCCACCCAGTAGGGTGACTACAACAACCAATCAGCTTATTCTGGCCGAGGGGTAAACACCGAAAAGAACACCGACTAATAATCAGTACAGATATAGTTTAGCATACAAGTGAATGCGCATCTGTCCAACACCAAGACTCATTATCATTTATCATTTCAGGTATGGATTGACCCCTTGAATAAAGCAGCTGTGGTTTCACAGCATATAGACTTCAGATTCTTTGAATGCCGCGATCTCTCAAACTGACTCTGTTACAGACTGTGTGTGGAATAAACAAAGAGACAGGGCACTGATTCATGGTTTTAGGAGTGGCTAGGCCACTGTAAAAGGAATATTTGCATTTTTATCAGTGAGTTTGCATGGTGTCTTATAGCAGCTACACATGAACGTACAGATGAAATGGTCTCGCACTCGTCCAAGCTTCACCACATTCTTCAGGTCACTGTGTCGGAGGACTTCCCGGCTGCATGTGTCCAGGCGACTGTTCACAACTTTGGCAACCTTTGTCCCTTAAATACACAAAAAATGTGATAACATTCGCAGCATCAGGTGACTGATTGCAGGTTAATACAATGTAACTTGTTGAATTTAAGTGAAGCCACTCTTACCATTAATATCTTCCAGGTCTATAACTCCTCGTGAGAAGCACTGTTTTAATCGCTCCGCCTTCTCTCCCTCCACCACCTCCAGGAGGGTGATCTCTGGGAGGAGGCGGTAACTCGCTGTGGCCACTGGGGAGAACTTGGCATGGTCTTTGCCTAAACACACAACAGAGGACACACTTTAGCATTAGGCAGCAGAAAATACTGTTTACAGACTATCCCGTTATTTGGACTGATAACATCCAAGTAGTATGTAAACTGCTGCATTCACTTCAGCACATCCTGAAAACATTCCACCCTTAGCTAGAGATGTTTTAGTAGTGCACCAGCCACATACCCAGGGTCACCTGTTAACTCACATTTCATCTTGTACTTGAACTCCCTGCAGCCAGAACGTGATATTATGGAAAAAGTCAGCCACCATTTGGTGCACACACCTATCTAAAGCCCTACAAACACACACGCACACACATCTCACTGAAAGTCTCAAAACACAATGGACACATATGGAATTATGTAGTAAACAAAAAAGTGTGAAATAACTCAAAACATGTTTGATATTTTAGGTTCTTCAAAGCAGTCACCCTTTGCTTGGATTACTGCTTGTCACGCATTCCCTGAAATGCTTCTCTTGTCCTGAAGGAGTTCCCAGAGATGCTGAGCACTTGTTGGTCCTTTGGCCTTCACTCTGCGCTCCATCTCATCCCAAACCATCTCCATTGAGTTTAGGTAATTTTGAATAAATCCCCAACAGTGTCACCAGCAAAGCACCCCCCCACCATCACACCCCCTCTCCTCCATGCTTCAGTAGTATGAGGGTCCACACAGATGTCCGTTGGCCAGGCCTTTTTTTGTGACTGTATGTACTCATCTGCTGAGAATTTACATTACAACCCAACAACTATGAATTCAAAGAAATATAACAGGAATTACTATTCAGGAATCTGGCCTCCAGCTGCTTGTGTCGATGTCCGCAGCAAAGTGTAATCCAGGCATTATAGCCGATTCAGTGTTGCCAATTAATGCATGTGCATACACATCTTTGGACTGTGGGAGGGAGCCAGCGTACCTTGAGAGAACCCACACACACAGGAAGAGCATGCAAACTGAGGACGGAGAGCCCCTGACCGACCAGTGGATTCAAACCCAGGAGTTTCAAACCCTAATGGGACCACGTGTATCCCAAACCAATAAAGTGTGACATGGAAGCACTTCAACATATAAAATGTTGTTAAATCAAAGATTGTTTAAAACACTATTGTATAATGTTACTGGAGCCAGATGTAACACATATATCACAATGGTTTGTGTCGGACTGAGAAATTTCTTAATATCAGTTTGATGAAATTAATCTGAAGATGTTTCTAAGCTGCAGATTCTAAGTGTGTGTTTAGAAACCATCAAAGGTTGGATGGCCGACAAGTTCCTCCAACCTAATGAAGAAAGGACTGAAGTTCTTGTATGTGCTCCAGACAGACATGTACCTGACATAATGAATGCTCTTGGTCCTCTTTCAACATTTGTGAAACCGTCTATCAGGAACCTCGGGGTAACCTTTGATTCTGCTCTTACCCTGGATGTCCACGTCAAATCTCTGGTTCGGTCCTGCTTCTATCATTTAAGAAGCATTTCTAAATTGAGCCCTATAGTGTCTCATACTGAACTGGAGATTGTTATTCATGCATTCATTTCATCACGATTGGACTACTGTAATTCACTGTTTACATGTCTAAACAAAAACTCCCTGGAGCGTCTGCAGATTGTCCAAAATGCTGCAGCAAGGCTTCTGACAAAACATCTAAGTACTCTCATGTAACACCGTTGCTTATACAGCTGCACTGGCTCCCTGTTGAATTCAGAGTCCATCTTAAAATTCTGGTTCTGACCTTTAAGGCTCTTCAAGAACAAGCACCAGCCTACATCATTGAACTTTTACAGCCCTATGTCCCTAGCAGGTCCCTGAGGTCTTGTGATCAGGACCTACTTGTTATTCAGTATACAAGACTGAAAAGCAAGGGTGGCAGAGCTTTTGCCACTGTGGCCACCAGACTGTGGACTCTCTTCCTCAGAACTTAAGATCTGCAGACTCAGTGATTACTTTTAAAAAGCAGCTAAAAACATCTTTTTAAAACTGCATTTTGTTAACTTTTGACTGTTTTTTTTTATACCTTGTGAAGCACTTTGTGATCTTTTATCTAGAAATGTGCTATATAAATAAAATTTTACTTACTTACTTACTTACATGTTACATTACCTACTTACTGCAGTGTATTATGAGCATCTCTGTCCAGCCAATAGAAATAATGCATTGTTATTATAATGTAAATAATAATGCTCCTGTTTCTGTTTGCCTGTTTAGTGTCTCTATCTTCAGCACTGCAGCCGCTCAGAGACAAAGCTTACCAATTCCTTTGACACAGTGCATGACAATGTCCAGCTCTTGTCCCGGTCGTAGCTGAGCTATCAGAATGTCATCATGCACAGGCCCAATACAGCAGTCTGCAAACACGTCTGCCTGGTTCCCGATGGGGACCCACTTTATGTCCTTGGAATAAACTATGAGCAGATAAAAGTGGACAGAGCAGATATCTGCAATTAGACAGGAATACTTTTTTTTTACTAGGATATCTGCACCATTTTGTGACACCTAAAAATACCCACCCATGTGGTTTAAGTACAGCTCTCGTGGGTCTGATGAGTCTTTGCTTGCTCTGGGATTCCTGCTGCACTTAATCTTCAGCTGCAGTTGAATTGTGTCTATTTCTGAACCCTCTTCCTCTGCAGACTCCTCCCCTAAAAAAACCAAAGCAGCATTTTAGACATGTTGCTTAACATGCTGCACATCATCACTGTTAAATCAAGTGCAGGAGACACTGGAAATTTGCAGCTCATGAAATTATAAAAAGTGATTATTTAGTCTTTCAGTCACAGCACAAACCTGCGGACAGATGGCTGACTCCACAGTTTTTTCCCCACCAAGCACAGCTACAGGACGAGATGTGTTCTAAAGGTACTAATGCTCATAACGCATGAATGAACGAGGCAACTAGAACATGGCATAAGTAGGAAGCAGGCATGACCTCTCCGTCATATCTGTTTCAGATGCTCAGTACAACTGAGGTCAGGCTCATTGTCAAGTTTCAGTTTCTGCAGCACAGCAGGAAAACTGTCTTTATTCTTAGACTTATGACTAAGCAAGATGTTATCTAAACCGGCACTTTGTCACATGACAAGAAGATGACACAGTGGGATAAAATGAGCATTGGTGTCAACTGCCTTATGGGTGAGTGGTTCAATATGATGCTTTACCAGTGTTTCTGTACTCAAACAGACGAGGGTCAGCTTTGATGGGGATGAGGCCTAATCTGTGGGCCAGGACTTCGTCTTGGACAATGGAGGTATTACTATAGATGAACACCTTTTCTGTAGCCATAGTAGGCACCTAAAAAAATTAAATAATAATTAGCAGCTTTCAAAATATATTTGCATAAAATGAATAAACTAAATGCCTAAATTCACAAAATGTACACGTTCTTCATCAACCAAAGTCCCTCACATACTGAAAGTTCAAGACCAGGTCTGAGACCGTAGTGACACAACAAAACAAGCTCACCTCTGCCAGTAAGATCCTTCTGAAGGCATTGGCAATGGCTGCATCAATCCCCACCATGTCGAACTCCATACTGTTTTCATCCAGATGCACGACATCGATTCTGAAGTTCTGCAAAGAAACAGGAGAGTTCCATTTCTATTTAGAATCGCACGCATTTGTTAAAGGCACAAGCCAAGCACTGGTCTTTTATTTAGCACGTTAGTCACTCTAGTCTGTACACATCTTTGTCCAAATACACATTCAATACTTTTTACTGGTGGACAGACAAATGTAAGGAAAAGGCAGGTGACTAACATAACCTAAAGGTGCTGCTGGTGTCGAATCAGGCCAGGAATGATGCTTAGAGTAATTATGACCCTGTGGTGTGTTAAAAGCAGTACTTTGGTTAAATGCTTTAAGTTACTACTGAACGGCTGCACTTCAGCCGCATCTCGATTACTTGATTAAAAATGAAATGTGGTGGTATGCATAGGTGAAATTACAAATCTGTTGCTGTGCAAACATTTAGGGGTGGCTGTAGCTCAGGTGGCAGAGCAGGTCAGCCACTAATCAGAAGGTCGGTGGTTCGATCCCAGGCTGCCTCCTGGCTGCATGCCAAATATTCTTGGGCAAGATACTAACCCCGTGTTTGCCTACTGGTGGTGGTCAGAGGGCCCGGTGGCGCCAGTGTCCGGCAGCCTCGCCTCTGTCAGTGCGCCCCAGGGCGGCTGTGGCTACAATGTAGCTGCCATCACCAGTGTGTGAATGTGTGGATGAATGTAGTGTGAAGCGCTTTGGGGTCCTTAGGGACTAGAAAAGCGCTATACAAATGCAGGCCATTTATACACATTTTGGAAAAGCCATGTGAGATTTACAGAAGAAAACTGATGACATTCGTCCTCCCAGCGTTTACAGGCCCACCGCAGTGACAACATTTTACCTTTTGAAATTTCTCCACGTTCCAAGTGTCGTCATATCCGGGGTAGTTTCCAGGGAAATCCGTAGTATGAACCTAAGAGCAACAGATAAATAATGGCTGAGAGTAATAAGAGACAACAACAGCACACAGGTCCACAAGTATGATCAGACACATTCTGTCGGGGATACCTAGTTTGGCACGACACCGGCAGGTGATACTACTAGTGAATAATCAACGCAGAAACACATTCTGCTTTCACCTCCATGTATGATTGTTGTATATTATAATAAGTGCTCATTAAGTAATATTAATGCAGTCCGTGTCAAACACGCGTATCAGTTAAAGCGTGTCAGTCAGAGCCTCACTACCCCACAGAGGACATGCTGTGCGTCTCCAAATCCACGATCACAGCCGCACTTACATTCGTCACACCAAATTCTCCCAATATTACTCGATTCCGAATTTCTTCCACGTTCTCCCTGCGGGCTGCCATTTTGCCGAGTGGGCGGGGAGTCTTTGGCTCCGCCCGCACCTCCTTTACGGTACAGTAGTGGTTCTCTCCTCTCCATCAGCAGCTGTATGAATCAGGGGGTTTCTCTCTAATATGCACGCGGAGAAATTTGGCTCTTATACGGGAGACAAGATCAAAATTGCAGCATCGGGTGTTTTTCACAGTATGCTCATACTGCAGTGTTCATGGACTTTGCGCCAGTTCACATTGAGTGATGAATAAAAACTGCAGTCATTCGTCAGTAGCACTCGGAGGCACTGTGTGGTTATCGGTGATGAATAATCAGTTCTTTGTGGTTGATATGGTGGTGATAGACGCAAAGGCCAACATCAAGCACTCAGCCTACGAAAAAGAACTCGGTGGGATAAACTGTGCATTGAGTAAAAGTCAGTCGTTTAAAAATGATCTAGTTTCAAGTCTTGATTTCCGCTTTAGTTTTTGGCGTCTCCCCCATCCTTATTTCATGATTTGGTTTGGTCCAGGTGCACGCGCTCCTAGCTGATGCTGAGCGCTAGAAGGGGGTGCTTGTTTTTGTCCTTTTATTCAACATGTAATTGGTGCAGGCAGACCCTTTTTAAAAATCATTTCATCTGACGACCTGCTGCCAGGCCAAACCTCTGGCTCAGCTGTCCGGCTCTGCGTATACACTCCTGAAATCTGAAGAAGTAGGTGAGATTTTTTGTGTTAAAAATGTGTCAGATTAATAATAAATAATAATAATAATACATTTTATTTAAATAACGCCTTTCAAAGCACCCAAGGACACTGTACAACAGATAAAAACTGGAAATATACACAATGATAAAAATAGAAGATAAAGTTAAAACATACAGAAATTTAAGAATAGGCAATTTTAAACAGATGAGTTTAACACATTTTAGTTGCCTGTACCGTGTTAAATAATAATAATATATTAATATATATATATATATAGTTCAATTATCATTAACAATATTAAAAAGTTAAATAAAATGGCTTGCACATGTCTCATCAATCTTACACAAAATCAAAAAAAACCAACTATTTATCTCTGCAAAATATTGATCCATGTCTGCTCAGTGTTATATTTTTAGGGCCGGAGCCTTACACTATGGACCAGGGTTTTGACTTATCCAGGTAACATCAGGGTTAACCCTGGGTAAATTGCCATGGTAACCTGTTCTGGAGTAGGTTTGAAATCATTGCCTACTGACCAATCAATTCTCCAGAAAATAGTGTCACCATTCCATGTCTGACAGAGTATTAGGGGCACATTAAGTTAAACAAAAAGTGTTAATTTTCAGATTAAAGATGGAATTTTGAGATTAAACTTAAAATACTATTTTGAGAAAAAAGTTGAAATGTGGAGACTGCAGTTGTCATTTTAAGCCAGGGCTGTCGAACTGCAGGCCTCGAGGCCCGGTGCCCTGCAGGTTTTAGATATCACCGTGGGTCACCACACCTGAATCAGATGATTAGTTCATTAACAGGCTTCTGGAGAAGTTCAAGAGGAGGTTGCTGAGGAGGTCATTTAGCCATTTAAATCAGCTGTGTTGGATCAAGGACACATCTAAAACCTGCAGGACACCGGCCCTCGAGGCCTTGAATTTGACTCCCCTGCTCTAGAAAATGCCATGCATAGACGTCGTCATCTATTGTATTGGGTCTTGTGATACAACATACATCGTGTTTATTGCTTGAGGGTGTAAACCATCATTATCCTTGCGTCTGTCCAATGCCAGGTATTTCATTTTGTACACAGTCGTGTGTTCTTCCTTCTGACCAGATGCAGCTTTCTGCAATCTTTTCAAAGCTCCTACAAGGAAATTATTCCTTCTAACTAAAAACTATTCTGAAGTATGATCACAAACTCATGTACACAAAGCGTTTTCTAGAAGGCTTTAATCTCCACATTTCAACTTTACTCTCAAAATATTATTTTGAAGTTAATCTAGAAATTTTGAATCTAATCTCATAATGATCAATAATATATATTTTTTCTTAATGTGGTCCTAATATTCCTTTGTAACCCTCGGACCTCTGTGCTCAAACAGCAGGAGGGCCTGAAGTTTAATAATACCATGTAATGTCTTTATGTTTCCCTAAAGAGCATCTGCAACAAATAATAAATAATGTAGATTTTTAATGCAATGCTTTCTCTGTTAGCAGCAAACATTGCAATATTTTTATTGTTCTATAAGCTTTCATATCAGATCCTGAAACAGGACATCTGCTATGTACTTGCACAACTTCTATCAAATTTGCACTAAGTTTGAATTGTGTTTTTATATGTAATCTTTACTCTTGAACCATAAACAGCAGAGTCTGTAGATAAAGAAGTAAAAACTAAAATGTTGGGAACGTGTGTTATAGATTCTCGTGGAGTTTTTTGTTAATCGGTCACATTTATAGTTCACCTTGTAATCGGAAGGTTGCTGGTTCGAGCCCCGGCTCGGACAGTCTCGGTCGTTGTGTCCTTGGGCAAGACGCTTCACCCGTTGCCTACTGGTGGTGGTCAGAGGGCCCGGTGGCGCCAGTGTCCGGCAGCCTCGCCTCTGTCAGTGCGCCCCAGGGTGGCTGTGGCTACAATGTAGCTGCCATCACCAGTGTGTGAATGTGTGTGTGAATGGGTGGATGACTGAATGTAGTGTGAAGCGCTTTGGGGTCCTTAGGGACGAGTAAAGCGCTATATAAATACAGGCCATTTACCATTTTACTTTGATCTGTGACAAACTGACGTGATTTCCACATCTCCTTTATCAGGTTGTGGGACTGTATTTAAATTAATTAAAATCTTATTGTGTATTGTATCCTTTTTACAAAAGTGTTGCATTTTATTGGTATATGCTTTTGATCTTCACAATTTTTTCTTTCTTTTTTTAAAATCACAGTTTGATAACATCTCTGAGAAGGTGGCACTCATAGGGATCATTTTCTGTAGAAGGGTCATATGATGTGAACTCGCAGGGGAAACGCTGGGTTAACTTGATGAGTTGATAACCTTCACTCACTGTGTTTTACACACCACTGTGCAGTTAATCATGAGTTATTATTATATTAAGATATGGGGAACTTCAGGCATTTTTAATTCATGAAACACTCTTAATAAAAGGTAGAGATTCAGTTCAACAGCTAGAACTAGATTAGATGAAAACATTGACAATTTTAATGACCAATAAAAATGCAGCATTAAAGAGGTGAAACGTGTAAGTTTTAGCAGTTTCCCAGAGAACTGTCATGGAGTCTGTTAACTCCAAAAGAATGAATGTTATTTAGACGTTGGTACTGTACTGTTTGTGCAAAACTGGCAGTGAAAAGAGCTGTTGACTGAGCTAAACACCAATTTAATTAACAGTAATAGTGCACAGAAGCATATTATGGACTACTGATGAATGATGTCTGCATCCACTGAGAGATAAATAGAATATGTCCCTGGGTAATATTTCACTGAGAAATGATGGAACAAAAATTTGTTGTTTTTTGTTTTATTTCTTTTTAACATTTTCTTTGTCATAGTGATCTTTAATCATTATCAGGCTTTCATAATCTTTACAATATTTGAATAAGGATCACTTTCTGAAAAGTTTTTCCATTCAATTTGGTATAGAGGTTTGTCTTATAAGAATGCAGTATCATCCAGACATTTGAGGTTGACGCTATGAGCAGCCCTTGTGGCTACTAAGCACAGTGTTCAGGTCCTGTTCATCTGTCAGGTGCTCAGTTAATCAACAGCTGCAGAGCTGCAACTGCAGCAAGCCGGAGATTGGAGGTAGCCCATCATCCTTCTTTTTCTGTAACAGCCAGCATTCCTGACTTGCTGGGAGGGGTTGGGGTTTTGCTGTGAGAGCTTGGCCGCACGGTTTGCTGTCTCCTTGATCTGCAGCTCAAGGTGTTTCTGGATGGCGAGACCCAGCTCCTCAGGGTCCACGGAGGCCCCATAGACCTCCCATGTCATCCCTTCTGCATCCCACTTCACTTCCTTGACTGGGGACTTAGGTGCACCACTTGCTTTTTTGTCTCTGTCGCTGTCAGTCTGGCTAGAAGACATCTTACTCTTGTTAGCTTCTGCCAGATAGATCTGAGGGAACACATGAGAACCGGTGGTCTGATTTGTCTGCACCCCGATATCTCTCAGAACTTTTTGGGCTGTCATAGTTCCCATGTCACGCGTTGTGATTCTTTCTTGGCCAGTTGTCGTACTGCACCAGTCATCTTTACCTAAGTGTTTTTGGGAGCATTGTGGGCCAGTACCAGGTGGCAGTGAACTAATCCAGGAGCAGCTCAGATTGCAGCAACGCAGCAAATGTTTGGCATCTAAGCCAGTCTCACTAACAGAGGAGAAGAGGCGAGGCAGTGTAAGGTGGTTTCCTGCTGAAGAAGGTGGTACTGAAGGCTGGATACTGGAGTCTGCCAGACGTGGCAGCATCTGCGAGGGGGCTGGAATAGGCTGAGGATGGCAGTAGGCAGCAAATGTATCCTCAAAATTGGCATGGTGGATATAGGAGCTGCAACAGTGTGGCTTGTCACATTTAGTGGAAAGAGGGCCGCCTTCTCCTTGACACTGCGCTTTGATATCTGCGTCATCAGATGAGATACAGAGACCTCTCCTCTGAGGATGCTGTAAGCTACAGTCTCCACTGCAAATAGTGGTAACAGTGTTGCACTGATGTAGCTGCATGGGCTGCTTGCAAGCCATCATGGAGTGAGTCTCAGCCTCTTGGACGCTTGCATCTCTGCTGTGGAAAGCAATTTCAGTTTTCGCCAAAGGCAAAGTGTCCGAGTGACTCCTGTGAACAATCAGGGCGGCCAGCTTCACATTCTGCTCTGTTCTGATGGTCTCAGGATAATTAGTGTTTGTATTCACAACTATCTCATCATTGTCTGAAAGTGTTTCTGTCACAACTGGACGAAGTGGGTGAT